AAGTATTAATTACCGACATGGCATTCCGTTACAAGAATAAACTGTAGAAAGCCGATACAGGGATCTTCGTTTTGCAACGTTTCTACTGGAAGTTTTTCGTTGATAGACTTTAGTTTTTTGTGTAAAGTCGGTACGTCGTATTTGTGGTTTGCATAATTGTTTGCACAGTTAAATGCAAATGGTAATTGTGAAATATATTTGTATATTCAGGAAATGCGAATACGTCGGTAATCAATTGTTCGAAGCATGTACAGATACACAGTGGAAGTGATCAGCTTTAGAAATTTCGAATATACAGTGCAGTATACAAAGGAAACTGTTGGCAAGTTTCTTGTAACAACCGTTACCGGAGTAGTGTTGAGATTTTTTTCAGTTACGCTAACCGTCGGTGCACTACCACACTGCCTAAATGATTACCATAATATTATATACACGTAATAAAATACGTATTTATATTACTGCCGAAAAATGGAAATCGATTCCTGGCTCGATCCATGGATTCCAATTGCATCTGGATAAGATTTCGGAGATAGTCTTTTTGGGATTTCTTATAATTGTTATGTATACTTATGGTAATCTGGAGTAATTTTGTACTATATCAAGTTGGAAAAGCGAAGATTGTGATTGTAATAGTTTGGATTCTAATCCTCATATTGCGATATTCCAAGGAATGCAAAAACCTAAAAAAATTAAAGGTAGTGTACTCCGATAAAGGTAGTGCCAAATGGTTGTGAACACAGCCCTTCATTAAGCAAGCGGCAAATTCACTGTTCAAACCATCACTTCCTATACGAGTACCCTTCACAGGTGAGTAAACCTGTTTTCCATACCTTACAAGTTACAAGCAGCTTTTCACCCGTCTTGTTGCAGGAAAAGCATCTCGCGGACTATATCTAGCATGACACAGCGGACAGCTCACCTCCAGATATCCATTCTGCGCCGCGGATTTCCGGTTTCGCACTGGCAGAATTTTTCAACATTTCGGTTGACATGTAGTCCTCATGTCAGTCGAAATGGCAAGAAAAATTCGGCCTGACGATAAGGTAGCAACCGTTCCACGCAGTTGCGATCTGTCTCCAGAACCAGTCAGGCTTTCTCAGTTTCCCGCATGCCTACTAAACCGTTCCGGTCACCGAAGAGCAGCATGTTGTCTCCTGGCAAACATTTCCCGGTTTCAAGTACCTTTATTATAAAGCGTGTAAAGTAGAAATTTCAGTAAAACTCCAATTTTTTTTCAGTACTCCCATTCAAATAAATTATGCAGTCACTCGCAATACATGTATTGTCAACTCACTGCTACAGCGCTCCATCATTCTCCAATTACGATTCCGTTTCAGTTACTCCGCTATCGGAATTATTGGACTGATTGCCGGTTGCCATTTTGTAACTTTTACTGACCAAAATTTTACAAAGTGAACTCAAATACTCTACAATCACCCAGACTAAATGCATTCATTGAAGTTGATCGAGCCCATTTTATTATCTCCATTTCTACATGATTCCGGACGAGAAACTGTAAAGTAGAATATGTACATGTATGTGCACAGCGGCATTAATTTTAGCAATTAGATAACAAGCTGGAGTGCACAGCGATGCGCTTGACCAGAAAACCTAGCTGATTACCAAGCTTGCGAGTTGAGGCGAGTGCTTTGGATTTATTACCACTCTTCAGAATGATTCCGATGTTTTGTGGAGCAGGATAAATAACACTGCGTATAACTGTGAGTAGAATAAATAATACTGTGTACTCCGCGGCATTTAGCGATTAGATAGCAATCCCGCATACGAAGCAATTATATTCCGTTATTTGTAAGACAGCTAGCGTTTACTTAAGCTTTGCGGTCCACACAAGAAGCCAGAGCGTTCCGTTTCAAGCAACTCAGCTGACTTAAAAGTTTCCAGAAAACGCCTTTCAGTAAAATCAAAGACTAAAATTTTCAGAGGGGGAGTTACGAGCTTAATAAAAACGACCACCACCCCACCCCCTTCATCCACGCTCGACCATTGTTGACCAACCACCCTCCGCCGGTTTGATATTGCGAGGCTGGGCAATAAAAGTTACCCAGAGAAAGCGAAAAACCTAAGCTACACAACGTACATAATTCCACAAAGATTTGTTAATAACGTTATAACAAACTGCTTTAACTTAGCTGCCAGGGGCCAGCGATGTATATCAGACGCAACGTCTGTCAATTTAAATTACATAGGTTAAGCTGTCAACCTTAAAGCGTAGAAACTGAACAAAAATTATTGAGAATTTCATAACAAATTATTTACCGGTAACGTGACAACGAAAGCCTTTTCAGCAGGCTGGTGGAAAGAAGAAAAGCAGCTGACAGGTGAGTAAATCACTGTAAAGTGGAAGGGCATTTAGCTCTCACTCGCCTACAGTACAGTGGGCTCGTGCCGTACAAAAGTCTGGACAAGTGCAGGGTAGCAGTACAGTATATGAATTTGCGATTGTGTACTGTAAGTAGTTGCGTCGGAACCAACAAGGTCGCTGCTTCCGGTGAACATACAGTACATCGCCGAGCATGTCTTTAAAGCAGTCGACAATGCAACTTCCTTGTTTCGTTGTAATGGTGCAGGTACTGTAAAGAGTTACGATGCCGGAAATGTGCAAAGGGTTGTGTTTGGGATCAGCGACTGGAGTGCGATAGGCGCATGGAAACACATTTAGATACTAATGTGCCGGCAAATTTGGAATATGCTTCACATACACTGATCACATGAAACTGAACGTAACCGTGACACATGTACCGTTTGATACCTGTACCTGAACGTAAGCGTTTAAAATGGCAGTGAAAGTGCTCGGTTCAGTGAAAGTGCTGAGAAATTCAGATATGTATCTGTGTGTACTGTATAATGTACGAAAGTAACTGTTCTCGAGTTTTTTTTTTAAATAATGCTGCATGTTTTATTTCAATTGCGGCAGCAGAAGGTCACCGCGTAACTAATCGATTTCCGTTACCATTACGATAACGGGCCACAGTTGCTGTTATGGTTGCGATAACCGACAAGCTGTACCATTATGAAAACGGATTTGTGCTGCTGGTAATGCCAACGATTCTGTTAATATTACGCTTAGATCCCGTTTTTTTAAGAGAGCTCGTTCAAAAGATAACAGATGCTTACCAATTTGCTTTTATTGGTAGTATTATGCAGCAAAAATTATTTCGAACCATATGTACACCAGATGGACAACAAACACGTATATTGCAACGCATATAACCTACTGGCGTTGTGTATGAACGGGATGTGGCTGTGTCCGTGGATGAATAGAGGATACCCATATAAGTATGGAAAAACAACATTACCATTTGATGGGAGTACCGGACAATGCCAGCGCAGACGAAATGTCGCGGGACGGACGACGGTATTATAACAAGCATTAAAGGGCAGGAGTGATCTGTACCCAGAATGCGGTACGGAAGAACTGCCTTTCATTTTTTCCCCATTAATTTCCTGACCAAGATCAATCCCCGCGTCTACGTGTGATTTCTGTAGGATTTTTGATTAAACATCATATATCCAACACGACCCAAATGCCACCGGTGGGTGGTGCCCGCGATCGGTCTCGGTCCTTCGTCTTGCTGGCGGTGTTGACTTTCAGCGTCGTGTGCTACTTAACGGCCATTCTGCAGTACACGTCCATTGCGCCGCTGATCGGGAAGTACCGCGCCACCGTCCAGATGCTGACGGTGAGCAAATGCACCTCTACGTAGTAAATGCATTCACTCACCGATCCGTTGGTTCTTTCTTTACCAGCCATTTCCGCCAGCACTGCTGTTCGCACGACTAAAAATTTAATGCTGTCACGCCGCCAATTATAACTCTGATACGAATATCTAATAAGTTTTTTTTGTATTTCTATCACTTGGTTTGTATTTCGTAAATTATTCTATGCAATAATACGATTATAGCTTCCGCCGGTAGCTGTACTGTGATCTCGAGTTAAAGGAAACCAGGCGCAACTGGCTTCAGCTTCAGATTATCCAGCCGGGTTGACGGCGTTAACCCGGAAGGAAATCTTATCCGATGCCCATCTCTAGTTAACGCGTGTATAATAAAGCCGGATAACCGCGAACGGCTCTAGATAGAGCTTTGTAATAAAACATTATTTGTAACGCTTCGATTTTCTTGCGAGCTCTAATTAAAAGAGCCAGCAAGAAATCGAAGCGAAGTCATTAGAGTCTAAGGACGCTGTCTGCCCCGATAAAACTCGTACAAAACTGACTGAACGTCTTCCATTTCGTAGTATCCTGAACTATACAAATAATTAAATTTATTGAGCATGTTTAGAAATTGTTAAAAATCAGGATATTAATTCTTTTCTTCCAGTACTTGGTATTTAATCCTTCAATGATTAAAATTCAGATTAAAAGTAATATGACAAAAACAATAATTTTATTGTCGATAACACGGGTTGTCGGTATTGGCATTTACGGCTAACGCGGTCAGAATGCGGCCGCTATGTCCGCTTTGCTCCACAGCAAAGACCACTGGTCAAATTTTGTACACGCTCTGCAGTAACGTTACAACATATTATGCGGTGCACTGCCCTGACAGGCTACAGCACAGTGCAGAGTTTAAGTACTTTTAAAATTTATTCTGGCCACGCCTACTGACCATGATTAACTCCTTATATACTGTACGAGTTTCCTGGCTTTTTTAATAATTAATAGGATCAGTTTGCCGGTGCAACGGCGCCGTCGGATTTGAGCTATGCAATATGGCGATATAAAAAACAAATAGCAAAAATAAATAAATAAATTAGTATATCACTCTACGACAAAAGAACCGAATCAGAAAAATAATAACGATCAGTTACACTGACACAAAACAAAATAAATTACAGGAAAAACTCAGCGATCATTCGCTGGAATACTAAAACAGCGAAAAACACCCGGTAAAAAGATCACGCTATATGCGAGTGAGCATCATGACCGGCCGGGCTATATCCACGACGCTACGCAATAACCGGGGCTAGTCGGCGCGGCTTAAGATCCCTGAGGAAAGCGCGTATCGGCATCGTCCAGGAGCGTGACGAGCAGCAGCGGTGCGGTGGACGAACCTCCGTTCAACTTCTGACACTCGTCGCGGGCCGTCATGGCCTCTTCCCGGCGAGCAAAACGGACGAAGCCCCAGTTGCTCAGTGCGCACGGCCGCTCGTACCCGTCTACGAATAAGAAAATGTTAATAATGTTCACACATGGCTTAACTAATGTAATAAATAACAAAATAATAAAAATATCAAAAATAATCAAAAAATATATTATCAAAAGGGTTACAGTATTAATAAAAATTTTATTTAACACAACATTTACAAAAAATTGATACAGTTTAATTATAACACTTGTGATAAAAATATTAAACAAATAAATACAGTAATTATAGAATATAGGGGCAAAAGTAAACGTGTTCCACCGTTCCCCTGTACTGCTGCCGTCACCCGCCTGGAGTTTGACGTTGTGGCTGAGCATGGCGCTTATGTACCGCGCCAGATTTAACCACATGTATTGCCGTAACGTCACACTCCAGGCGGGTGACGGCAGCAGTACAGGGGAACGGTGGAACGCGTTTACTTTCGCCCCTTATATACGTACAGCAGGTACAGTTGCGCGGCGCGATCTTGCTGGCCGTGATGGTGCCGCCCCACTGGCTGAAGTGGCGCTGCAGATCCGCCAGCCGCCACGCACACGGGATGCCGGTGACAAACAAGTTGCTGTGAGGGTGCGCCTCTGTGGGAGGGCGGCAATACGCCACCTGCAACGTGATAACCTAGTTGGCGCACTTTAATGCACTAGACAAGTTATTTAAGATCTGTAAATTACGAATGTGCGAGTACAGTACCTGTTTATTGATTTACGCTTGCTCAAAGTGTTTCGAATTTTTATTTGTACACGTATTAATATTATTTTTATTAGAGCTATTGCTTGCCTACCTACGTTCTTAGATTGTACTTGTACTATTATCGCCTAGAGCGCAGCGAACGTTCTATAGATTCACGAGCAATACTTCCGTTGATTTTTCTCCGTTTCGTTCAGCAAAGAAAACAAATTCCATAACCACAAAATAATATGTATAAATGGATTTGTTACTAAGGTAAAACGAGTATTCTAATAAAAATGTTACGAGCAAGTACTACTGGCAATACATATAGAATTATAACTCTTCCAAGCAAAAAGCTGCTGCGCTCCGATCTGTCAATGCAAGCCAATGTGCATTTCTTCTAGTATATTATTATTTGTAATTAGATTTTCGTAATTCAACCTTTTCTACATTTATCAGCATCAAGTTATAATTATGCATTTTATATACGCTCGAACTTACTGAGTAGAATGACAGGTACGTGTATATCAGTTTAAGCCTTTCTAAAAGTTTTTTTTAATTTTTAATCCATCTGAATTTGTAAAACATCAGCGCTTACCTTGATGTGCTTGGTTTTGCGCGTGGGATTCCCGTCGGCGTCCATCTCCCACGGGGCGGCCGTCTCAATAAGACTGAATCCGTTAAGGTGCTCGATCGCGCGGGCGGCCGCCTCCTCGTGGCTATACGAAAGGAAGGCAAAGCCGCGGCTCACTTCCCGACCTGCTCAACGAACGACGGGTTAACGAGTGCAAAATACAGCACGCTCTGCAGCCGTTACCTGTCAGGTCGGTGCGCATCGCGACGCGGCACTCCTCCAGCGTGCCGTGCTCGCCCAGAATTCGCCGCGTGCCGAAGATATTGCGCAGGAAAGCCTCGCGGACGGCGCTGGGCAAATACGTGACGATCAGCTTTCGTCGGTCCACGTGCTCCGCGCTCTCCACATCCACGGGATGATCTGCAGCACCAGATGCACCGCCCACCGTGCTCTGCAGCATTTCTCCGTAAAGATTAAATTAAATAACAAAAATTTAGCGTTGTACACAAAGCTAACGATATTTGCGACTCGAAAGTACGATGCGGACGCGGGAATAAAAATCATAGGCGCAGTAATGATCCACGACGCTCGGTTCTGTCTGGCGCTCAATGAAAACGGCTGAAAGAATGAGTGATCTGCAGGATGACTGCTGTATCACATCGTCCGATCTGAGATCTCAACTGCAAATCCGTCAGAACAAAGAAATAGCCGATTGCACAACGTGCTTTACGCCAAACGCGATATCCGGATGTTATACGAGTACAATGGACGGAGAAATGAGTAGCCGTTGACTGATATAGCCGTTAAAGCTGATTGCGCAACTGGTCCAGTCCGACGTTTACTCAGTTCTGCAGTCCACTGTACGTTATCGACTGCACAGTTTCTTCGCAGTGGCTTTTAATGGAGCTAAAGACTTTGTTCTGATTTTTCGAACGCTAATGCTACTTTTCCCAACAAAACAATATTGTAAATGCAGATCATTACAAAAATAGAATGAGAACTTCGAAGCAGTCATCGGACACTTTTGATGATACACGATGGATACACAACAGAAGTGATTATTATTCTAACAATTTGCTAGATTTATAATGGCTGCGTTTCGCCATTTGGTATTTCATTTTTTTCCGATTTAATTTCACTTGACAAAAGTAAACTAGTATATATTTGCTCTCGTTCACAAGAACGCTCCGGGAAGAGCGGATGTAACCGCACACGTTAACAGGATTAACTCATTGAAAACTGAAATGTAAGGATTCTCAATATAACCTGCTCAAGCAGAGAGGCAGATGTTGTTCAGTTTCCTCACATCCACTGTTAAGCAGCGCCCATCGGCCGCTGTCCATACCGGAACCCAGTCGCGTTCCGGCATACCCGAATCCGTTTACTGATACGCCTGGAGTAGCTACACGAATACAGAAATCGGTTAGTTCACTGCACTGGGCGCTGCTAAGCGAAGAACGCAAACAAAAACCAGGTTTACATATGAGTAATTACCTTACCGGTGAGTTTACGGTGTTTAGCGTATCCCGTCTTCGATCTTCGGCGATCAGATCCATCGTCCGCTGCGCGGTGCGTTCAACATTGAGTAATCTGCCGTTGCATAACAGTACTGTCGTTCAAACAGATCCGAAATCACCGGCACACTAACGTTCCGCAGATTGAACGCAGCGTACGGGACGTAAAATTCCATCACGACACGGATAATGTTAGTTATCGCGCCGGATGTTAGTGAATAATCCTTCCAAATCACCCGCTAACAGCATGACGTCAGAGCGGCGTACCCCGCGCTGATGTCGTTCGGGAACTGCCCAGGAACTACACAGTCACGTGATCATTACGCTGAACCGGGTGTGGACGCTCTTCTGGCCGCTCTCCCACCAACGCCATCACACGTACACGCTGGCCTGGCTACTGTGCTGCGCAATGGTCGTGTATGTGCATATTATTCAGTTGTCGGGAATTGTCTTAGAAGCTGTGTATTACCGTCAGTCCGGCGCCGTGTGCGGAATCATCGCCGCCGCTCTGCACAGTTGGTCTATCTTCTCGGAAATCGTCACGTTTTACATACCAAAGTTTTTCTACCGCTGCGCTATCCAATACTGTTTTGGAAGTTTGACCCACGCGCGCGGGAAGTCCGCCAACCGCCCAGAAGGAGCAGTAGGTGTAACCGATCCATGCCTCGAACCGAACGCCGACACGAGCAGTTTTCGCGTCCGTTTATCATTATGACGCTGGGCACGTTGACGGCCACCGTGTGCTGGCTACCCGGTTCCGTCCACTACACTTTACTGGATTGTATGTTCAACGCCGGCTCGCGATTTCCGTCATTCCTTCCAACGGTACTGTTTATTTACGGGCTACATCCCGTTCTCGATCCGGTATTTGACTCCTCAAGCCTGGAAACGTTGCGGGCGTATGTGGCTCGCCACGCGTGCTGTGGGAAGCCGGCTGCGAAGAGCGTTATCCACCCATCGAAATCCCAGCAGCGATTATCCCAGCAGCGTCGCAAACGCAGTGAGCCCAGTCTAGGTCTGGCTATCGGACGATTTTGGTTATTTTGGTTTCACTGTACGGTAAGATAGCATACAGTGTGAATGTTCGACTTTCCAGCCGCCGGTTTTTCTCTGGTTGCGTAATGCGTCCCGGGGCTTTTTCCTCTGTACAGTAAATAGCGGTAGGCCAATGCTTGACTCTTGAGGTGCTGTTGGGAAAAGACGTCTACCTCCTAAAACTACCGGCGTGAATTAAGTAGCCAGCATCCTGTTAACCTTTCTGGAATCCCGGCAAATAGGTGGGGTCTAAATTCAGTTAGCGAGAGAAAAGCGGGAGTGGCAAAGGTGAGCTCCCTGGGAGAACGCTTCCTTGTATTACCTTATCGCAGTGGAAACGCAGTGGAAATCGAGACTGCTAAGGATTACTGTATATTGTTGCACCGGACATTTCATTTGGAAAAAGAGCGGAAAAAGGGAATCAGCTGATGCCACGTCATTCTGAAGCAGCGCATCAGTTTAGCAATAATGCACGAGCACACACACGTACCCGCCATTTCTGGCTGTATTGAAAGCGGTACATGTGTACAGTACGTACTAATTTCGTTCAATCAAGCCCACATCATACGTGCGTACGTTCTCTCGTGATGCACAATCTTCTAAATTCATCGGTAGACTGTGAACGCGTGTTACCTTACACTCAAGGCTCTCCAGCTAGTGATCCCATGCAAACCACTTTACCGGGAATCCGGCAGTAACTTGGAGTATTACGAGGAACAAAGGGCATTTCGGTGTCGAATAACCTAAAGACGTGCTCGGCGACATGTATTTACCGGAAGAGGCCTTGTTTGTTCCGCCGCAACAGCAGTCCATGTTCGTTGATTTCCTATAACATGCTCCGGTTCGGCCAGTTTATTTGCAATCGCAGGCAGAGAGCATATACGTGTTCAAAATAGACACATTTATGTGCGCAGTATTGCAGTACATCTACGATACTTCGCTCACCTAACGTCGTATTCCTTAACATCTCGACTAAACAGCTGCATCTTACTCCGTTCGTTAACAGCTGTATCTATTTGGAGAACCGACCTGCCAATTTGACTACGTAAAATAATGTCTTTACACACAGCATTACTATCGCCGTTACTGCGTTTTACCAGCGAATTAACCAATCGGTCGCTGATCCTTGATCAGCCGACAACCAGCAACGTCACCCTCGCCACCCACCCGCTCCTAATCGTGTTCACCAACGCCACCATCGAACAGACGTATTTAACGCCGCACTGGACGCCTTCGGTGGTCGGGCACCTGCTGGTGTCCTGCACCGGCATCCTCCTGACCACCGCCGTCCTCGTCCTCTTCCTGCGTCTCCGCTCGTCCACCGCCGCCTTCAGCGTCTACATCCTGCACCTCCTCCTCGTCGACCTTCTCTGGTTCGTCTTGGCGGCCCCCGCGACCCTCCTCAGCGAGCTGTATTCCGACTGGCCCCTGTCTAATTCCGCCTGCAGTGGCGCCCTCTACGTGCAGTGGACGCTAAGCCTCCTGCAGCCCTCCAGCCACGTCCTCATCAGCCTCAACCGCTTCTGGGCGCTCACCTTCCCCCTCCATTACCGCCGCACCCACACTACTCGCGTCGCGGGGATTCTCTGCCTTCTAATGTGTATCATATGCCACGTCATCGTCCTTCCAGGGATCATCGTCGACGCGGCATTATACCGTCTCCCACCGGAAGTATATGGTTGCACGGTGAACCTCCTGCGTCCGGATTTAGAGGCGTGGTCAACCGTTATCCAAAGCCTCAGCTGGGTGGGGTGGGTGGTGGTAGTCGGGGGGTATCCATTCCTTTACTACCGGCGCCGGACGCACCGCATCGCTAACCGCTCGTCCATTAAGCCGGTGAAGAGCGTCATCTCGAACAGCACGACGACGGATAAACCAGCAAGTGGTAACCGGGATCGGTCTCGGTCCTTCGCGGTGCTGACGGTGTTGACATTTAGCGTTGTCTGCTGCTGGACGCCCATTTTGCTCTACACAACCGTTGCACCGTTGACTGGCAAGTACAGCGCTACCGCCCAGACGCTGCTGTTCATCTTATACGAAATTCATTTACTCACTGATCCGCTGTTATTTTTCTTCACCGGCCATTTCCGCCAACACTGCTGTTCGCACCACTAAAACTGTTTTTGCTGTCATGCAACTAATAAATAATTGAATAAAAATTTATAACCAGTTTTGTTTCTGGTTTAATTTCGTTTTTTGGTTCTTCTGTTATTTTCTTCATTAATTTTATTATCCTATCTACGATTTTTTCATGGACCCGCTTTTTAAAATTAGTTTTTCTCCTATCAACCACTTGATTTAATTCGGATATTTCCATCGTTGGAAAGTCTTTGATGGCTAATTAAATTCTGAGGTTTCCCGACATCGGAAATAGATGGTCTAATCACACAGAACCTTTTCATCTACAGGTACAGAGTAAATCAGCCGATGCTGATGTTGTTCCCATGAATGTTTCGAATGTGATGCTTATGTCTTTGCCTGTTCACTAAACCAATAAAAACTCACACAACGAACTGGACAATCAGCGCAGCAGACTTGCTAGAGGCATTCATTCTATAGTTGCGACTCACGTCAGCAGATTTAATACAGAAGGCAGTAATACATTTTGAAACCCGCTGCACTGTTTACTTATATTTTGTTCAGCTGGCTACAGTTCTTTCTGTGCTTTATACCAGCGGCACGTAACGGGCCTGCTTGCGTGAAAAGCAAAACTGCTAGTAGCGTTTTAGCTTCCTTCAAAGTTCAAAGCTTTCTTGTGGCAAGTTTTTAAAGCAGTTTTATTTGACGGATGAGAATGAGCAGCGGAGCGTAGCGGCGGATTGGGTATGTTCTGTCCGCCCACTGTGAATTCCGTGCAGAAAGTGCGGGTCCTAGCGGTAATGTCTCGCGCAACAGGTTGGTGGCTTTTTCCATAGCATTTTGATAATAATTACTCTGTAATTTAAAAGATGAAGCGAGTGGTGAAGCGAGAAAAGCGCGATTCGAGATACCTTCTGGTAAAGAAAACCGACAAGAATGAAACTCTGTGAGATTCATCGGACAGGTGTCAGCTTACCTATCTGTTGATATATCAACATGGCTGAAAATGCCGCGCCGGGAACGTATATGCAGGATCGGATCTTGGCTGAAAATGTACTCTCACGGCATTCTCAGCCATGATCCGATCCTGCAAATCTATTCCGCTTCCGTTGCATCAGTTTGTCGACAATTGTTTTTCCAAGCAGAACTAGTAATTTTACGTAGTATATGTAATTTTATGTCGGCCGCCGCCCACATGTTAATTATTATCATTTGATAATAAAAAATCATGTGGCCGGCGGCCGGCATGATGCAGTGTAACTCGAAAGGAGGAGGAGGAGTTTATCAGTTTAATAAACGAGTGGAAAATTATTGCGTCGCGCTGGTGCACCCTTGATGGTCAAAACAAATCACCGGATGGCGGTTAGCTATAAAAGCGAATAATCCAGAACATTATGGCTGCGTGCACAGGTGACCTTTGGAATCCGTACGCGCTATCCTGACACGTCTCCGAAGTGGCTGCATCACCCCATATGCATTGGTATATAGTACGGTAATTATTTTGCCGCAGTCTTTTCTTACAAAATTACCCCAATCGAATATTTCGAGTAAGTACTTTGAATTTTTTTGCTACTTTGTACTACAAAGTTTGTAGTATTGTTTTACAGATAGTTATTCTTTTAGCAAATTCTCGATTTTTGTTTCTTTTCAGTATTGTAATTTTTCTTACAAAATATAAGGTTGTAAAATAATGCCATTTTGCAGTTCGCAGAAAGGGAACAAAACGGAGAAAACTGGGAATGAAAGAAATGAGCTCGGCGAAGATTCACGAAGATGGACTTTAGAATTGTCACTGGTGATAATTTTTTAAAATATCTTCTCCGATCGTCCAGTCTCAATTTTTTCCTGGTCTCTGTAGGGGACGGGGAGCATTCTGCACGAAAAAGGGGGAAACTGAAAAGAATGAGACGCCGTGAAATCATCGGGTACGTATCGACTTACCTCTCCCCTGCTCTGTGGTTTCTCCACCGTTAGAACCAGAGTTATTCTGACACCCGTTTTGCTCCACTACGTTTGCTCATTTTCTTCCTCACCGCCCCACTCACCACGGCCTTAGCCACGGCCACGGCATTAGAACGGAAGAATCCCTGTCCACGAGCCGTCTGCTGTTTCCGATGCAACAAACGGCAACTTGAAATTCGAATCAAAATTATCAGAAATGATTTTTTCATTAAAATTACAATGGCACACCGCCCGCTCCTGTGTGTCATCTGTCATGTGATCGTCCTGCCCGGCATCATGGTCGTCGACGCGGCGCTGTACCGCTTCCCGCCGAAAGTGTTCGGCTGCACGGCGAACCTCCGGGTCCGGATCTGGAGGCGTGGTCGAAAGTGATCCCAGAGCCTGAGCTGGGTGGGATGGGTGGTGGGGGTCGAGAGATACCCCTTTCCTGTACTACCGGCGTCGGACGCACCGCAGCGCCAACCGCTCCTCCATCAATTCGGTGAAGAGCGCCACTTCCAACAGCACTACCACATATACGCGGTGGGCGGCGCCAGGGCTCGATCGCGGTCCTTCACGGTGATGACGGTGTTAACCTTTAGCGTCGTGTGCTGCTGGACGCCCATTCTGGCTTAAACGACCATCGCGCCACTGACCGGCAAATAAAGCGCCACCGCCCAGACACTGCTCTTCATCCTCTACGAAATTCATTTACTCACTAATCCGTTACTCTTCTTTTTTTACCGGCCATTGCCGCCAGCACTGCTGCTCGTACAGCTAAAATTCCGTTGTAGTCGTGCCGCTCGTAATTAGTTTTATTGCAAGTATCTAAATAAGCCTTATGTATTTGTAGGACTGAATTTTTAGTTCTTATTTAACTTTATTGCAAGTATCTAAATAAGCCTTATGTATTTGTAGGACTGAATTTTTAGTTCTTATTTAACTTCCTCTGCATTTCTTGAATTATTTTATTCATTAGTAAGATTATCGTTGCCGCCGCTCACGTAACCGTCTGTGCTGCAGTCACTAGCTTCAGCTTCGGCAGTTAACTCGTTCGTGGTAAAGCCGGCTATCCGCGAACGGCATCGGCTAGAGTTCATGATAATTTAATAAGACAGGTTAAGTTTTTCTTCCGACTGATAGCTGTTAAAATTACAGTTGCGCAAAATTAAAAATAACATCTGGGACCTACGCAATAAACAGAAAAAATTGTCACCTGACACACCGGGTAAGAAGCCGCACAATGCGGCGGAAATCAAAACGAACAAAATAATTCTACGTTAACCCGTTCCCGTCCATTCCTGTCAAATGGCAGGGTGGGGGACTCTTTTTCTACAAGAGCCCGTTACGCACATAGCTCATATTCTTGAGTTATATTTCACAGTAGAGATATTAGGTGTCGTTTTTAAAAATCGGACTGTCCAACATAGTGTGGTCTGGGCATGCACCAAGTGACCAAAGGTGCCCAAAATCTGGAATTTTGGGTTCGCGAAGGTCTTCGTTGCCCCTGCAGCGTCCCAGCATGAGATAATTCCAAAATAAATAATTCAAGCCAATCTAGCGGCCCTTATTGCAAAATCATTAGAAGACAAGAAAAATAACTGGACAGCGGACAAGCACGGTCATTCTAAAATTTCCTGCCACGTTTGACAGGGATGGGCATGGATCTACTTTATCAATAAAACTATAAATTCGATATAAAACCTCAAAGGCTTAGTGGAAAGCCACACATGCAATCAAAAATTCGAGCAAAAAGAGTGTTTACAAAGGTTGGTATTTTGGTGGTCATCGAAATGACCGGTGGTCACTAATTAGCTCGAAAATTTTCAAAAAACGCTTTTTTTGGGCGGAGAATTTGAAAAACAATTCATTAACTAACGCGAATTATAGACCTAAAAAGTGTTTCGGTTTAAAAATTCAGATTTATAGTATATTCGAGAAACGAATATGGTACGTAGTAAGCACTATGCCTAGAGTAGTCCAGGATTAGAAATGATAAGATTTGAACTGATGTAAACGTAATTCATGGAAGGTATTTCACCCAGCCATTTTAAAAATTGTACAGCACTTTGTACAAATTGTCCCTTACGAACAGGCGTCATTGAGTTACCAAGCTATAGCGGATAATAGCGGAAATGACCATGCGGGACTAATTTTTCATTGCCGGTGCGGCATACGCCGTATACTCTAGGATGTATTGTAGGTGATGCGGTGCGGGTAGTGTCGCTGTGGTTACTGGCTTATGAACCGCTTAGTGATGGCTGAGACCGTTTGCAGAGTACCCTCTACAACCTCTATTCACTAAAAAGGTACCAAACGTCGGCTGAAAACAGTAAGCGGCAATAACGAAGATTGGTTACCATACAGTATAACGAGAACATCAGCGGCAAACACCGCATATGTACTGCCAGTACTGTACTGGCATGAGTGGTAAGAATGCAGTTGTTGTTTTTATCTAACTGAAAATCGTTTTCTATCGTTTTTTATTGAAAAGCGTGGACACTGTATCTGTTGTAACGCGTAGCGGCCGAAAAGTGCAGTTTTTTAACAATTTTTGTTATTACTGACCACTGGTCAACTTGATGACCACAACACTGTCTGGGAATTGATGAGCTTTTTGGGGCCTTTCGTTAAAGCGTTCGCCAGCCCCAGTGCTACCCTCCCATAACTATTTATAAATTTCGGCGTGCTACCTGCCAAATGGCAGGATGCCCATCCCTGTCAGTTTGGCAGGCTATCGCCCTGCTTGACCTATGGTCACAAAAATTCTCAAAAAATCAGTTTTTCTTGATTGAATTATTTGGTTCTGGAGTGCCAACTTTCAAGTTAATATTCGCACTCCTTCTGGTAGCTGACTTTGGTGGGTTAATTAAGAAACAATCATGTTGACGAAACATCTAAGGGATGGCGTCATGGCTAACCAAGCTACTGCTGCGAACCGGTGCCGGTCGATGCGGCGGGCAGTGCGCTGGGGAAGTGCGGATCGGCGCCGTCCAGGAGCGTGACGTGCAGCAGCAGTTGCGGGCTGTTCGCCTTGTGGCATTCGTCGCGGGCCGTCACGGCGTCCTGCTGGCGAGCGAAGCGGACGAAGCCCCAGTTGGTCAGCGCGCACGGTTTAACGCCACCGTCTACGAATGACAAAACATTATTAATGGCCACGGATGATCGCCAGTTTTCTTAACCAAATAAGTAAATAATAAAAAAAATATTATATAATAGTACAGATATACATTTTCAACTAATCTCTATAATATCTACAATAAATAGATAAATCTACAATCAAATAAATATATATTCACAATCATATAAACAAATTTCAAAATTCGAATAAATAAACAAATAATAAAATAATAGTATTATATAATAGTGCATACAGATATTAATAAAATATTTTGATAATTTATACAGTAAGAACAATGCATAACAATTATAATAATAATAATTATTAAATGAACTTACAACAGGGACATTCGCGCGGCGCGATCTTGCTGGCGGTGATGGTGCCGCCCCACTGGCTGAAGTGGCGCTGCAGATCCGCCAGCCGCCACGCACACGGGATGCCGGTCACGAACAGGTTGCTGTGAGGGTGCGCCTCGCTGGACGGCCGACAATACGCCACCTGCATAATTGTCAACTTTGCCATATTTTTTCCCATTTATTTCTATAATTATACAGTATATTGCCTTTATACCAAACTGTTACCAGCATTTATTTTTAATAAGTAATTCTATGAGTATTTACTTTTATATATAAGAAATTAATTTGGAAGAGTACTCGTAGTCAAGTAAATCAACGAGAAAGTAAAACTGAAAACCTAAACATAAAATAAATTGAGGACTAATATTTGTGGTTATAATTAATAAATTGTAAAATAGCCAAGTACGTTCGCGGACACACTGTTTACAGAAATAATCATATTTTCAAAATGGGTGTCCCGTGTCTATAAAAAAACCGCGTGCAAAAACCGCTGCTTATATAAACGTGAGTGGGAAATCGGAGTTTCAAAACTCAGCAGATAATTCAATATAACAGAAAACGAATTGGAATAAAATCAAATAAAATCATCGAACAAGTACGCATGAGAAAACAAGGAGTTAAATAAACTATCATAAGAAAATAAACAGAAAACTTATTGAAAAAAGTGAGAGAAAATTAAACGATTTAGTTTGTTGGTACGCCAGGTACGGTAAGTACCATGAAAAGAAAGGGTAAGAAGCAGCGAAATCAATTAAATAAATCAGCGGAAAAGTACTGCAAAAAGTAAATTAAGAAAAAATATATTTACGAAACCAGAGAAAAACATAACATTAATCAGGCAAGAGAAAAACAAGCAATAAAATATGATAATATACCTCGTATTTGCAGATACATTTTTATATAGATAAAGATTAAAAAAATAGGTAAAATTATCCAGTGTTAACATTTATTTTTGGTAGATCAAACAGTACTCTGTAAATACACTGAAGTTTACCTTGATGCGCTTGGCTTTGCGCGTGGGACGGCCGTCGGCGTCCACCTCCCACGGAGCAGCTGCATCAAGGAGACAGAATCCGTTAAGCTCCTCCATAGCGCGCGCGGCCGCCTCCGCATGGCTGTACGTCAGGAAGGCGAAGCAGCGGCTGGTTTCCCGACCTGCTCAACCAACGACGCTTACACGCTTCAGTGCAGGTTCAGCAAGCAATATGGCCGTACCTGTCGCGTCGGTGCGCATGGCCACACGGCATTCCTCCAGCGTCGCGTCAGGGCCGAGAATCTTCCGCGTGGCGAAGATGTTGCGCAGGAAGTTTTCACGAACGGCGCTGGGCAGATACGTGACAATCAGCTCACGACGGGCTTCCTGCTGCGTGCTCTGCATCGTCACGGTTGATTGAGCCATTCCTGCTGCAGCTTCGTCGCGTTCCTCGCGTTGCTCGATGAAGCGCGAGTATACAGAGCACACACAATACGGGCAACGTGCAAACTTAGTGCAGTTACAGAACGGCGGACCAGAAAAACCGTAAAAGTAAGCAGTGCGTGCCTCAAGCGCAGAATTCAAGTAAACGTAAACGAGACGAGGGCGGATTAAATACATCCAGCTTCGACGCAAGCTGATCTCAGACGCTGTGCGAGAAGGCTGGCCGTCGGCTGAAACGCATAGACGATGACGCAATGAGCTTTGCGGTTTGCCCACTGAGCGGCTGTTTCGGCTTAATGCAGGGTGCGGCCGTGTGGTTCTCAGTAAGTACTGTACTGCCGTCGCGTCTCAAGTAGGGATATTTCGTGCCGTGAATTCGGTGCGAGCTGTTGTTACGTCACGGCATTCATCGGCTTTATTGTATTTTAAATGATTCAATTTACTGAACTCTCAAAAACGACGGCAAAACAGTCGATTCACGCATCGGTTAATGTGAAGTCCGTACTTTCTTAGATAATACTATTTGTTTACTAGCTGTTTATTAGTACTACAACGGAAATGATTAAGTAAGTAATAACACAACAATAATAAGTACGTTCATCACTATTAATTGCTCTTTTGCGAGCTGATAAGCATAAAACTGAAAGCAAAGTCGCAATACTACTGCAAAGCGAAATCTGTGCGCAGTGATCACTCGGCAGGAACCGGTCTATCGCAGCAGCCACTGCAGCTCTCAGTATATAATATTTCCAGTTCCGCACAAGATGAGACATTAACAAACAGTAATTACCAATTAATGAGCGACTATGCCGATAATTGTGTGCGCATATAGGAGCATATTAATTTTACGGTACATTATTTACCTGCTGCGATTATTGTCGACACAACACGACGGCAGTTTTCGAGGCATTCTCTCTAGCTGTTATGTAACATAGATTTTTTCCACCTAGAATATATACTTTTGGTATATCGTACTTGGTCTATTGGTTCTGCATTTAATATGCGATTCTGGGTTCGGATCAGGAAAGTCATTCTTTTGCAAACTCATTGCAGACGGCAAGCATAAACGTTCACTATAAATTTTATCCACCCGGTTTTTTCGTGTATGCCGTTCGGCTGTCGTATTCCGAATTTGTTTTTGACCGGGCCAACCGGAGAATTAATTTTTGCCGGTGCTTACAGTTAGCAAAACGTTGTATCTTGATTTCACTGGCTGTTTTCAAAGTAAAGATTATCATGCATTAGCAAATTCATTAGGTTTCAGTAAACTTGAGAGTTGCAAGCCACTGGTGCATAGAAGTCCTTTATTTATTAGTTTCTTTATTTATTTTTTCGTTTGATCGCTTTAGTTATCTTAATTGATTTGTTTTTTATTTATTCTTATTTATTTATTCTCGTATCTAATAGTTATACTCTTCATTTCCTCGCACACACTTTATTTTTAGGATTGCATTTGGTGACGTCAATGTCAACAAAGAGATTAAAAGACACATCATACTGTTCAGTGCAGTAAAACAGCAGCAGAAACAACTGCACAACAAGACTACCAGATGAATCAGCATCAGTACCTGTACAGGAATTAGTGCATGCCGGCATTTTTATGGCCGTACAGAAAGACCGAATAAACGATTAAAAACACTTAATGCTCGGTGAAATATTAATTTGTAAAAAGTTAAATCACGTACAAAAAAACAGCGATTGTTCCCTGCAAGACTGAGGCAAGCCATACGGTTGACGTACAACCAGGAGAGACGACGCGTTCAGCGACGCTGTTGCTGGAATCCGGCGCGCGACGGTGGAGCGGATGATGAACGAGGAAGCCGCGGGTTGCTATCGTCCAGGAGAGTGACGCGCAGCAGCAGCAGCGGATTGGACGCAGTTACATGCATCTTCTGGCATTCCTCGCGGGCGGTCAGGGCCTGCGCGTGGCGAGCGAAGCGGACGAAGCCCCAGTTGGTCTCGTCACAGGGCACCGCCGACTCTTCTCCGCTTCCTTCAACGAAAAACCGTTAAAGGTCACGCCCCGTAAGAAATAAAAATGCTGCGGAAGAAAGGTCACCCGCCATGTTGAACGTAAAGGGAAATAAACTTACGGCAGAGGCAGGTGTTGCGCGGCGCGATTGTACAGCTGATGACGCTGCCGCCCCACTGGCGGAAATGGCACTTCAGATCCTCCAACTGCCACGCGCAGGGGATGCCCGTCACGAAAAGGTTGGTCTGGCGGTACGCGTCGTCGGACGGGCGACAATACGACACCTGTATTACGACAGTGTTATGAAATTTCAAAACATTTCTTTAAACAAGTTACAGTAGCTACATTGCATTTATACTTATATATTTTCCATTCGATAATTATTTTAATTTACGCGTTTATCTTATTCTAATTTAATTTATGTATATTCAGCAAAATAAGTATAAGTACTTTTAGTTAAATATATGCATTTGCTTTACATCCAGGTTTTTTAACCAGCCGAAACGAGAAACATTTCAACTAACCTTCAAGTGCTTCACTTTGCGCGTGGGATTCCCGTCGGCGTCCACCTCCCATGGGGCGGCGCTCTCGATGAGGCAGAAGCCGTCGAGCAGGTCCATCGCACGTTTGGCCGCATCCGCATGGCTGTAGGTGAGGAATGCAAATCCGCGGCTTACGTCTCGACCTGCACATCAAACCACGGTTACACAGCCCACTGATCCAACTCGCGATGAAGCTGTTACCTGCGTCGTCCTTACGCATCACGACACGGCACTCCTCCAACGTGGCGTTCTCGAGAATCTTCGGCGTTGCGAAGATCTTGCGCAGGAAGCCATCGCGAACGAAGCTGGGCAAATAGTTGACGATCAGCTTACGCCCGTCCGCCGGTTCCGCGCTCGGCGTCTCCACGGGAAGATCCGCCGCTCCAGCTGCAACGTTTGCCGTGATCCTCGACATCTTCACTTCGGCCGTTTAAAAAAATTAGAAAGTGATAACAACTGAGCAGCGCACAAAACAGCGATGATCAGGCGACCCAAAAATGCAGCCCACGCCGAACAATCAACGGTTGTGACCGCCAAACGGTGATCAAATAGAACGTTCGCTAAAGGTCACGCTAACTGAAGGCAAAAGTGGGTAGCGTGTGCAAAAGATCTGGCTAACTCATGCACTCGTCGATAAATGAATGTACAGCCGTGTCAGGTTTTTTGCAGCCGTCGGCAGCTGTGTAGTGATTGGCGAGTAAACGAACAGCCGATGACGCCACGGGCTCTGCAGTCATTGGCTGCAATTCCGGCCCATCCGGTTTCAAGCGGTCGTGGTAAAGCCGGCTATTTATGAACGGCTACCAATGGGCAAATGGCAAACGTTTCTACCGACGGGGTGGATTTCTGCGATCTTAAAATATTTGTGACGTCGACGCTTCAATTCGATTCGATTCGATTCAGTTCGGTTCTAAGTATGAGGTTGTTCGCACGGGTACGAGAAAATTACCCGAATGTTTACCGTTAACGTTCGTTATACAGTCTAAAAACGGTAAAAGAGGGATTCTTGCAGTCAGATAAGCTCCCGAGAAATCGAAGAATCATACGTTTCGAATAAAAACAGTTTCTTAAATAAAAGAGATTTTGAGATTCCGTGTCATAGCGGAGTTGATTATTTATCGCCGTTTAATCACCAGCTGGCGTAATTTAGGGAGTGACACGGTGAAAATAACGGGATCCAGTATATTTTGCGCTTGGCAAATAATTCCAATCCAGAAGTACAATACAAGGTGTCGTTCATGTACATGGGAAAAATATATGGCACAATGCTGCAACTCCAACCGAAGAAGACGCTACTGGTCCTCGTGGTAAACAAGACAAAGTTGTCCTTTTCTGACTTGTCGGTTGCCGGGTTTCTGCCGGTAGCGGGTGGCAAATCTGCTGGCTGTGCATTCGGCCGTGCAACATTGTACGCGCTGAAAAAATTTAACAAAAGTTAAAAGTGAAACAATATCAGATTCACAGCATTTTTTCTCATTTTAAAATGAATTTCAACTAACGTAAAATTTATTTTAAAATTACGGGAAAGTGCTATGCACCGGAAATTGGTTCACTTTCAATTTCATGGCCATGTGTCTTTTACAGCAAAGTTTCAAGAAGATCGGGTAATAACCTGACTTTTGATACACAACAGTGCATTTCGACTTTTCACCCATTTTGGTTCGCCATATCTCGGCGACCGGATGCTGCGCGCGCAAACGGTTTTCAGGACAATGTATACAAATCATTTAGCTTTAGAATGTCATAACGTATTATGAAAAAGTGATTTGGAGTGCGCGAAAGCAAAATTTTTAGTAATTGCATCCCATTTTTGACATTAGGTCAACAGAAAACTATTTTATTATGTCATACCGGCGGGCCCAACCCTGTTGGAGCGCATTGTCGCCAACTTCTTTAAGCGTCTCCGCCGGAAAACCACAATGACGGGGAATAAACTGACCATCATGAGCAGGCAGAAAAAAAAGCGTTTTTCTGATGCAGTGGAAACATTTGCATAAAAGTTTTTCATACGCACAAAATAAAACCTTTTCTAAAGCTTACTGCAGTAATTCTGTACCCTACCACTTTTTCGTTTTTACACATCACCATATAAGAAGGCCGCCAACAGTAGGTTGCCTGTCAAGTCTCAACTGTTTTCGCTTATACTGTACTGCAGCCAAACTAGTTGTTTAGGTCATCGAAAAATTTTGCTTATATGTAATCGGCGTTAGAAGCGTTTTACGGGCTGTTCCTGTTGTAACGATGTCTCTAACCGTTTGATGCCGTTTCTACTTCTAATAATCACGGTCTTCTTCTAGCAGGCAGGTCACGGTGGGTCCCACGTATTCATAAACCTTCTGCGACGACGACAGGTCCAGATTAAGCAGGCAACCGGCTTCGGTTTCCGCCCGGCGCTACACCAGCGCGTCCACCAAAACAATCAGGAACCCCATGGCATGCCCGGCCATCCACGCGGCGGCACTAACGAACAGGGCGACGCGGGTGGTGTGGATGCGGCGGTACTGTACCGGGAATATTATGGAGCAGAAGCGCTTAAGAGTAATCGACGTGTGGAGGCATATAAGCACTATGGGTAAAGTATAAGCTGCGTACATGTACACGGCGCACCAAAAGGCACCTAAGCACCACGTATCGGATAACTGGGAAAAGGCGTCGGGCGGTCCGAAGGTCACCCGAAATACACGTTACACGTCAGTAGCGAGACAATGTAGATGTGAAAGTTTCGACAAACGCGGAAGCTGAGAATGTACACGGCCAGGATTGCCGCATTACCGGCGATGATTAATAAACTAACGGCGATGGAGGTTACCGGAACTATCGACCATCGGGCGGGATTAATCAACGAGCTACAGGCATTAACCGATGCATTACCGCTTAAACTGTTATCAGCCATTATGAGTAATAACGTTGACCTTTAGACCTGTCTGATCAATGGTTCCCATACCTCAAACAGAATGGGATTCTACGGTACTTTACCAACGGACTTGAAATTTATTGTGCTATGTTATCATGCTGCAGCGTTCAGCGTTCTTAAAATCTTTTAAACAGCATCTTAAATGTACGTAATGCAGCACTGGCTTATCTTATAGGACCATGTTAGCGGCGTAATCGATTCTAATTGGTCAGCGTCACGGCTTCTCCACCTTAGTAAGGGTTTATTAAGCAAACTTTAGCCGCAAAATAATTTCCGGTTATTATTTATTAGTACTAAAACACCTGCCGGAAAGCTGAAAAGCAAAATCTTCCCAATGAATAGGCACCCCAGGAAGTGGCGTCGGTATAGTCACACGCCAGAATGCACTGGAAAATGCGAATTATACTATTATTAACTAAAATCTTGACATAGAGGGATGCTCTAAAATCGATCGCCTTTGCAAGCTGATGTACCAATTAATGCTTAAAAATCGAGGTTTACAATAAGCGCACAATCCTGATCACAACTTTATAATTATACCGCAATTATTTTAACTTTGATTCCATCAAACTTAAGAAACTGCGCCGGCGTTTTTCCCAGCGATTTCTTTCGCAAATTATGTACAGCGGTACAACCAAACGATGCAGAAAACATTTATTTCAACAGCTTGCGTGCCGTTTCTTGTACGTTCGACATCTGTTGACTAGCAGCCAGTCCCTGCGGCTGCGTTGTGGAGCTAGTTACAATAGCAAATGTAATAACAGATGACCGGTATCCGGTAAACCGGTAACAAAGTTTATTTATTTTGAAGCTTTATGTCCGTACAGTACAACTGTCGTTGTTGCTTTCTCAAACAGTATTTTAGATTTGTAATAAGTAAGTTTGCTAGTTTGCTAACCGCTTTACTCAAAGCCCAGAGCGGTTTTTCTATAAGCTGGCTTTGAGTAATTGTGCTACTACTCTGTTTCTGCATTTTATCTATTCAGCAGTATCCGCGGAAACAAACAATATCTTGTATATTATCTGTTATTGAGATATGTCCACATTACAGTTACTCGAGCCTTTGTGATTGCTTGCATTTTCATCCGTATCATATCCATTGTCATGCGGCTGGTGCAAAATTTACCAGCTGAGCTGCCGCATGCATGTCGCGATGTTGCCGCAAACAGTAAATAAACTTTTACAGTAGACAGTTTACTGTATGGTACATGGAGTTTTTAGTATACTTCTAGCGAGTGTGGTAATTTTTGCATTATTTCATCATGATCGCGCCTGTTAGACTATTAGTCGCAGTTGTCACTACACTTATAGAAGTAAAGCTGATCTTGTGGGGGGGGTGGAACCGTTTGGAACGGTATATTTAATGGTTACCAACCAGTATAGTTGCCCGGGCGAGTAATGGTTGGCAACCTTTACACGCCGGGGCAATTTTACCGGGCCACATCCAGTCGCTGTTAAGGAGATCTACGGCAGTGATGATAATGCCGAGAATGGTCAAATTTACCTGGCGACATATCTAACAAATGGAAAGCTGTATTTTGATTGCAACATGAAAATTTCGGTCGGTACTATAGATTTGCGATCCGATATGCGCTTAAAAAGTTGGTAGCAGAAATCATATGGATTATTCTCCAGGTTTACACAAGTGGTTTTCCGGTTGCGAGTATACTGTTTAAGTACTGTACAAAAATTTTAGTGCTGTTGTTATACAGGGTTCTACTAGTAACTGAGAATACGCGGATGATACTAAATAGTTTTAGCGATAAACGTACAGTCTGTGATGATCGTAGAGAAATAACATCGAGATGATCATAGAATGATGAGAGCATGCATAGAAGTATCGTATGATAGAAGCGGTAGCGTTTATATACGAGTAAAAGAGGTGAAGGTATTCAGGTAAATAACACAACAGGCTATGTAGACTGACACGGAAACCCATTTTCTATATGACACTGTTATGATGCTGATTGATGCTAACGGTCGCAATAAGCCACTGGTTTTGATTACTAACAGCTATAAAATCCCATTTTGGAAGATCTTGTCCAGTAACATTCTTCAGCTGTACGAGTACAATACCTTTAAAGTGGTCAGCTGCTTTTCGCTACGGAAACCTCAAGGTTTCAAGTTACTACACTCCAGTAGCAGAGATCAGTCCATTTCGGCCTCTCAGAACATCGGCCAGAGTAAGAGTGCTTAATAAGAGTAGGAATATCCTTAAAAATACAATAAAAACGTTTAAATAAACGCGCTGAAAAAGTCGAGCCTTTTTCTTGAAAAGGGGCGATTTTATCGTTCATAGTACCAAAATTTCACAAGCGTGCGAAGCTATTTAGCAAACTAAGCAAACTTATTTTACAAACCTAAAATGTGAAAGCCTGAGAAAGCGATAACGACACTTGTACTGTACGGACACAGACCTTTAAAATAAATAATAAATAAATAATAAACTGGCTGTTAGTCAACAGATGTCGAACGTACAAGAAACGGCACGCAAGCTGCTG